GTTTATCTGTGGCTTTTGTCCATCTCTTCTTCTATACTTACACATATACATACATATATATATATTTATATATATATAAAATATGATTTTGAGAATGCCAAATATGTAATGAAATATAATTTCTGTTAATCTGCTATGGAAATTGTTAATTAACAGTTTTAAGCTATGCAGTTTTAATCTGTTAATTAACATATTTCTGTCAAAATTAACAGTTTTAATATGTGTTCAAAATTTCTGTCCAAAATTTGTTAATTAACAGATTATAACAATTTACAGTTTGGACAGTCCAAATTTGTTAAATTGTTCGAGAAACTGTATATTGTTTGGGAATGCTAATCTGTTAATTAACAGTCCAAAATCTGTATATTGTTAATTAACAGATAATATGACAGTCCAAATCTGTTAAATTGTTATAAATTGTTAATCTGATTTTGGATAGATTTTGGGTTAATCTGGTAACTTGCATTGTTAGAAATTGTTATAATCTGTTAATCTGGTAATTGTTACAATTTGAAGCTCTTACAGATTAGAAATTGTTACAATTTGAAGCTCTGTTAATTTTTGAAAGGGTAATATGTTATAGTCTGTTGAAAGGGTAATATGTTATAATTTGTTCAAGAGCTTGCATTGTCAATCTGTGTATATGTGTAAGTATAACAGAGTAATAACAGAATAGCTTGGTTCTATTATTCTATTAATCTATTAAATCATTTGATTTCATATGGTATTTTTGAATGAGCAGGAATGGAGATTGGTTCGAACAGTGCAGAGAATCCTTTATTAAATGAGAGTAAAGAAGTTGAGGAACCGAAGAGGGGTATGTGTTTTAGCTCAAAGCAAGAAGTGCATTCATTTTATGCCAAATATGCTAAACATGTTGGATTTTCCATAGCTTATAAAACTCAAGTTTGTGGCGATGATGGGGAATTAAGATATTTTGGGATTGAATGTTCTCGATCGGGAAAGAGAATAAAAAAATCAGAAGTAAATCCTCTAAAGCCATCTTTGTCTACAAAAATTGATTGCAAAGCAAAGGTACGAGCAACCTTACAAAAGGATGGGAGATTTATGTTAACCACAGTTAACCTTGACCATATACTTGTAATTGTAATTGTAATGCCTTTTATGTGACTAAACTTGGAGTTTATTTTGTTTTGGATAATTTATTTAATATATTTTTGGATTGTTCAGTTTCTTTATTTTTTGGTTTAGAACAAATTGATGTTGTATTGTGCTCTGTCTGTTCCAAATCTGTTACAAATCTGTTCAAAAATTATGTTTGCATTTCTTTCTACACCCAAATGTGTGGAAAAATTTGTCTTCAAAAGTGTGTGAGAAAAACTTGTCTTCGAATCTGTCTTGAAAAACCAGTGTGAAAAAAATATGTTCTCAAAACTGTGTGAAAAACCAGTGTTCAAAAAAGCTGTCTTCAAAAACCTGTGTGCAAAAATCTGTCTTGAAAATTATGTGAAAAAACCTGTCTTCAAATCTGTCTTGGAAAACCTGTGTCAAAAAAAGTTTTCAAAACTGTGGAAAACCAGTGTTGAAAAAATCTGTCTTCAAAAACCTGTGTGGAAAAATCTGTGCTCAAAAACCTGTGTGCAAAAATGTCGTAAAATCTGTCTTCAATAACCTGTGTAAAAAATAGATAAACAGAATTTGTGTTGAAAATGTATCCAAATCTGTCAACCTGTGTTCAAATACACGAGAATGTATGTTCAAATACACAAGAATGTATTTCAACAATCTGTGAAGCACCTGTGTTCAAATACACAAATCTGTGAAGCACCAGACAAACAGAATCTATGTTCCAAATCAATCCATAATCTGTCCAAATATGTGAAGAAATTCTGTTCATAATATGTGTTAACAAGTTGTCCAAATCTGTGAAGCACCTGTGTTCAAATAGACAAATACATAAACAGAATTTGTGTTGAAAATCTGTCCAAAATCAGCCCAAAATCTATCCAAATCTGTAAGGCCCCGGTGTCCCACATCGGGAATGGAGGGGGAGTTCCTGAGCTATAAAAGTAAAAACCTGGACCCTTATATAGCATCGAGGCCTTTTCCCAAGTAGTGAAATCCCTATTAGAACTCCCTAGTTAAGCGTGCTTAGGCTGGAGTAGTTCTAGGATGGGTGACCCACTGGAAAGAACAAATCCGTGCGGGCGTGACCCAAAGCGGACAATATCGATGACGAAATTTATTTAAGGGGGATAGGTTGTAGAGACCCTAATTTTTGGTAGTTACACTTGAAACCCTAAGCCTTAGGTTAATTGCATTTTAGTCCCAAATTTCATAAAATTTTACAAAATGGTCCAATAGAATAAATTTTCTATATTTTATTTTGTATTATAGTTAAATCCTAGAACACCACTTTATAATTGAAAATATCCTAAAACTTGGTTTTTATTTATTTACCTCCTAGTTTATAAATTAATTCATACATTTTATTTTTATTTCTATTTTTTTGTTTTTTGTTTTTGTTGTTCTTTCATTTATTATTTATTTGAATATTTATTATTTATTTGAATAGAATATTATTGTTTATTTGAATATGTACATAGGTGTGATAAATAATATTTTGGTAGAAAATTGGTTGAAAAACAAAATAAAAAAAAAAAATCTAGATATTTAGGCCTTCCTTAGTCATTAAGTTAGGACCCAGGCTTATTTCCTATAAATTGAGAGCCTTGTCTCAATTCCACACATACACACATATCAATAGCCAAGGAGAGGGTGAGAGAAGGAGAGTGTGATTAGGGAGAAGTAGGGAAGAAGAAAAAAAAGAAAAGGAAGAAAAAGGGTGCCTTCTTGAGTCAAGGTAAGAACACTTCTTCCCCTTGTCTTCTCCAATTCTTTCACTATCCCATCTAATTGTTAGATGCCCTCTTGTGTTGCATATTAATGGGAAATATGGTTTTTGATGTATATAAGAGTGTGGGTTTGATTTAGTGACTTTGCCTTGCAAATTTGTCAAATTAGGCACTGCTGTAACTTCTCTAATTTAAAATAAATATCAAATTTATTTATTTCTTCAATCTGAATTTACTGTAGACTATTTGGTGTGTTTAGAGCTTGTGGTAATTTTATTATCCCCTAATTGTGTGTTTTTAGGGCTTGGATACTTTGTTTAAAAATCTGGTCCTGAGTCTCTGAAAAACAGTTCATTTCTTGCAATTTTATAAAATTCCAAAAAAATCATCTCAAGTTGGTTCTTATATACAAATTTAGGATTTTGAGTCCTCTTTTCAATGGAATTTATTTGGGTGAAAATCATTGGGTAGATTGAGAGGAAAGCTAGTTTTCCCAACGGGTGACAAATCTGTGTAAAGGGTCGGGGCGTTACAAATGGTATCAGAGCCGACTCTCCGAAGTACCGAGTGTGGGCCCCTGGCGTCTTTCGGTGCATGTGGACGGGCTTGCGAGCTGGCAGGCTACTGCACGGGGACGTGCAGCCTTATGGGGGGTGGATTGTAAGGCCCCGGTGTCCCACATCGGGAATGGAAGGGGAGTTCCTAGGCTATAAAAGTAAAAACCTGGACCCTTATATAGCATCGAGGCCTTTTCCCAAGTGGTGAAATCCCTATTAGAACTCCCCAATTAAGCGTGCTTAGGCTGGAGTAGTTCTAGGATAGGTGACCCACTGGGAAGAACAAATCCGTGCGGGCATGACCCAAAGCGGACAATATCGATGATGTGTAAAGGATCGGGGCGTTACAAATGGTATCAGAGCCGACTCTCCGGGGTACCGAATGTAGGCCCCTGGCGTCTCTCGGTGCATGTGGGCGGGCTTGCGAGCTGGCAGGCTACTGCACGAGGACGTGCAGCCTTATAGGGGGTGGATTGTAAGGCCCCGGTGTCCCACATCGGGAATGGAGGGGGAGTTCCTGGGCTATAAAAGTAAAAACCTGGACCCTTATATAGCATCGAGGCCTTTTTCCATGTGGTGAAATCCCTATTAGAACTCCCCAGTTATGCGTGCTTAGGTTGGAGTAGTTCTAGGATGGGTGACCCACTGGGAAGAACAAATCCGTGCGGGCGTGGCCCAAAGCGGACAATATCGATGACGTGTAAAGGGTCGGGGCGTTACAAATGGTATCAGAGCCGACTCTCCGGACTACCGAGTGTGGGCCCCTGGCGTCTCTCGGTGTATGTAGGCAGGCTTGCGAGCTGGCAGGCTACTGCACGAGGACGTGCAGCCTTATGGGGGGTGGATTGTAAGGCCCCGGTATCCCACATCGGGAATGGAGGGGGAGTTCCTAAGCTATAAAAGTAAAAACCTGGACCCTTATATAGCATTGAGGCCTTTTCTCAAGTGGTGAAATCCCTATTAGAACTCCCCAGTTAAGCTTGTTAGGCTGGAGTAGTTCTAGGATGGGTGACCCACTGGGAAGAACAAATCCGTGCGAGCGTGACCCAAAGCGGACAATATCGATGATGTGTAAAGGGTCGGGGCGTTACAAATGGTATCAGAGCCGACTCTCAGGAGTATCAAGTGTGGGCCCCTAACGTCTTTCGGTGCATGTGGGCGGGCTTGCGAGCTGGCAGGCTACTGCACGGGGACGTGCAGCCTTATGGAGGGTGGATTGTAAGGCCCCGGTGTCCCATATCGGGAATGGAGGGGGAGTTCCTGAGCTATAAAAGTAAAAACCTGGACCCTTATATAGTATTGAGGCCTTTTCCAAGTGGTGAAATCTCTATTAGAACTCCCCAGTTAAGCGTGCTTAGGCTGGAGTAATTCTAGGATGGGTGACTCACTGGAAAGAACAAATCCGTGCGGGCATGACCCAAAGCGGACAATATCAATGACGTGGAAAGGGTCGGGGCGTTACACAATCTGTCAATAATCTATGTTCAACCAGACAAACAGAATCTATGTTCCAAATCAGTCCAAAATCTATCCAAAATCAGTCCAAAATCAGCCCAAAATCAGTTCAAATCTGTCCATAATATGTGTTCAAACAAACAAACAAATAACTTTCAAGCTTCCAATCAGATAACAAACAATCCACATGATTACATATTCATACTTCTCAATCCATAATTGTAATATATCAGAAATCTTCATACATATCATCTTCATAATTAATACAACACCAATTACATGTTCTACCTTGTATAAAAATTATTGCATCTTCATAATTAACATAACACCAATTACAAGCAAGATGAAGATCCCATTAATACAACACGAATTTCTATTTATGTCTCTTTACAATTTTTGCATCTGCGCGTTCTAAAATTGATGTTGTTCACTTTGAAATCGAAGATGTTCGCCCATACTTTGAAGTTGTTCGGTAACAGTTGGTGTGTTGTCCATTCGCACTTGTCCTTCCTCCCTACGTTGTGAATTTGTGGGCAAGCACCATGCAATAAACCCACTGCAATCAGGACAACAATAAAATAGCTTATTCTTGTTTCGTTCCGTCTCCGAAATTAGAATGATTGCTATTTTCCGACATTGAGGACAATTTCTGTTGTAATACGTCAATTGATCTGAGGTACTGCCGTTAACACTTGAAGTTGACATTTGCAAAAATATGAAGCGAAATCTGAAGTTGAAACATATATTGTATAATCAAACTCATATATTGCTCATTGGGCTGGCATTTATATGCAAAAGAATCCGGTGAGTGAACAGGGTGGCAATACCATTCATGTTTGTTGAAATCACTAGGTTAAATGTTTTGTGAAGTTATTGACACAAAAATAATGTACAGGAAGTTCAACAGCAGTCAGATTTAACAGAAACCAAACAAAATGATGTAGTTGCACAGACATATGCTGCAAATGGTGTTTTAGAATATGAAGGCAATGGGTTGAATCTGGACAATACAGGTACACGAGTGTAGTAGTTTAATTTAGTGACATATGAAGCCAAGCCAGTGCTGGATTATGGAGTTGCCTCTGGTCATGTTGCCTTTCCAGGACTTGATATGCATACAGGGAGGGCTAATCAAGTAAAGAACATGTTGTACCAGAGTATTTGGCACTCTTGCTGAGTTTTATTGGCAATAAAACTGGAACTATTTTAGTTATTTAATCTCTTGGTTTCCTAGAAGTTCTTTTTGGACTAACTATTTTGTGGAATACAGATGTATATCTCTTTCAAGTATCATATGATTGAATGTTTAGCTGATATAGAAACACTAATAGTGGTCATTGGTTAATATCCTGCCTTCTGGTTTTACTTTTATTTCCTGAACAAGTGACATTTTTAGTTGAACATGGGGTATCTTGTTAATATGACTCCTTTTGGAATGGCAGGTCAGGCCTCAACTATTGTTAACTGTTTTGTGCCTTGGTCTTGGTAACAGATGGACGTAATTGTTTGCTTATTTTAGGTTCTTCAGGAGTCGGGACTATTTACTAATGTTGTGGTTCAAAATCCAAGGGAGCATTCTGTTATTTTGATGGTTGTGATGGCACTTTTTTAATGATCATGGGGATGTTGAAAGTGATTGAGCTCTGCAGGATCTGATGCAGCTTTATTGTTGCACCTTTAAATCTAATCTATTCTTTACTTTTCAATTGTGTAATATCTGTTGTGTTGCTTTTGTATCATATTCCTGTGGAAAGATATTGAGAAATTGCCATCTACATCTAAAGTCCCTGTATTTTATTGCAACTAATGACCTCTTTCTCTTTCATCTTTTTGTTTTTTAATAAAAATTAATTCATACTCTAGCCTAGTTTAAGGAAAGAGAATGTAGGGATTGAACCAGTTATATGAGCCAGAGCATCAAAGGGTACAAGTCAATAACCAAATACAAAATAACTCAGTGTCCACAAAAAACATGATGAAAGACATATTTGGCAGTGGCTTTGAAGGATGATTAAGCATTTTTATATATTCTCCACCAAATATATATAGATTTTTTTGGCAAATCCAATTTGAAGTTGGATGCTTAAAAATGAATGTCATGTTTTAATAGAGGAAGGCTATTCCTACCTTTTCTCTTCCTCTGATCCCATCAAATTCAGATGGCCTGGTGGGTTTGTGTCTTCTCTTTGATTCACAAATTATGTACTAGTCTTAAGCCAAAAAGTGGAATTTCCACTTTTTTGAATGGATTGGAATGATGATGAAAGAAATAGTGGCTTTGAAGGATGATTAAGCATTTTTATATATTCTCCACCAAATATATGTAGATTTTTTTGGCAAATCCAATTGAAGTTGGATGCTTAAAAATGAATGTCCTGTTTTAATAGAGGAAGGCTATTCCTACCTTTTATCTTCCTCTGATCCCATCAAATTCAGATGGCCTGGTGGGTTTGTGTCTTCTCTTTGATTCACAAATTATGTTCTAGTCTTAAGCCAAAAAGTGGAATTTCCACTTTTTTGAATGGATTGGAATGGGAAGACAATTCCAGATTACCTACTCAAGCTGAAATCACTTTCCAAACTAATCAAAAATCTGATCCCCATACTCCTATGGTAATCTCACATTTCTGGAGGAATATAAAACCATTTAAGAGTGAAAAATTCCTAACTAAATCAATATTTAAAATTTAAAATTCCTAACTAAACACATTTCTGGGGCAATATTTAAAATTTTTTCATTTTCCCAAAAGAGAATTCCTAACTAAATCAAGCGTTTGATTAAGCATTTTTATATATTCTCCACCATATATATATATATACATATATATAGATTTTTTAAGGAAATCCAATGTAATGTAAAATTGGGGCAAATCAAATCAAAATCAAAATCAAAATCCAAATCCTCCTAAACAGATGAAATCAAAGTCAAAGGCACAAAAATCTCAACAAATCAGGGCATATATATAGGTATATATATATAGAGAGAGAGAGAGAAAGAATTGACCTGTGTAGACAGATCTGTCAAGTAGACGGAGAGAAGTTGCACTCGTCGTGAGTGAAAGATGATGACGGAGAGAAGCTGCGTTTCACCTCGATCGTCGCCGGGTTGGAGAGCTTGTCGGGGTCGCCGGTGTTGGAGAGCTTGTCGGGGTCGCCGGTGTTGGAGAGATGCGACGGTCAAGAGAGAGGAACAATAGAGGAGAAGTTCAGAGAAGAGAAGTTCAGAAGAGAGAGAGAGAGAGAGAGTCTCAATGTATTGTCAAAATGAATTTGAAATTTGAAATGAATGAGAAGAGAGAGAAACGGGCGAGTTTGCATCACATTACCACGTTGGCAGCCACGTTGTTAGTGGCGATTTAGTGGTGAACTTTTAGTGATCGGAAGCATTTTTGTAGATTCTATTTGGTTCAGTATCTCTAATCTTTTATCACATATTTTATTAAATTTAATAAAAAATTTGATATGATATAATTTATTGTAATAATAAACTGACACCATTGAAATTTATATTTATTACAGTTCTCCCGTTATATTTAGAAAATTACACTGATTTCCTTGTCAGTGTAATTATTTGACAGTGTTAACTTATAAATTAAAATGATATATTTATCATTAACCTTTACATATACCTTAAAGGGTAAATTACATTGACAACCCCTAAGGTTTCAATTTAATACGGACCCCCCTGACATTTAAAAAAAAAATTAATTTGATAAAAATAAATAAGAAAAAATATATTTAATTTGTAAAAAATTATTTCTAACCACTTAAAAGATAAAAATTATATAAAAATGATAATTATTTTTTATTTTTTATTTCTTAACCAAATTAATTCTTAATTTTAAAAATCAAACCATACATAACCTAAGAATCTTTTTTTTTTTTTTTTAAATAAAGCCTAAAAATCTTTTGATAAGTCGTTTCTTACGTTAGTAACTTTTTTAATTATTTGTTAATTTTATGACATTTTTACCATCTGAGGCCTGTTTGGTCACTATTTCGTTTTCAGTTTTCAATTTATATTTACAAAAATTTTAAAAACAGTCATAAAAACTTGTTTGATAATTTTTTTGGTTTATAAATGGTTGTCTCAGTTTGTGAATTTGAGAAAAAAAACGTAAATTTAAAAAATGAGTTTACGTTAGTTTTTAAACAGAAATTTAAAATTTTGGCTAACAAAATTTTTTTTCTATTAATTTTTTTTTCAATGATTTTTTTTTTTCAACTAATACTAACCGAGGGGGTAATTGGTAATGCTACTTTAAACCTTAGGGAGGGGATTGTAATTTCTAAAATGTGAGGGGTGTCAATGTAATTTACCCAGTGAGGACAAAATTCGTATTTAAAAAAATTAAATTGTCGATATCAGCAAAATCTCTTAGTTGACTTAAAGTCAACTAACTGAGAGAGCAATTTGTAATGAAATTTTAAATCTCAGGAAGGAAGATGTAATTTCCAAAAGGTGAGGGGAGAACTGTAATAAACATAAACCTCAGGGGGTGTCAATGTAATTTACCCTTAAATTTTTCATCAAATTTAATTACAAGCACGGTTGTCTGGGAGAACATTCGGGCGGACACCCGAACATGAATAAAATTTGACGTTAAAAAAAAAAAAGTTTGATTGTCCGAAAGGATGTCTAAGCGGATGTTCGGCCCAACAACCGCCTACAAAATTTGATAGAAGGTAAAAAACTCTCTTAATTTGATGACAAATTTAACTCTTTTTCATTTGATATTGATTTAATGAAATTGTTGGAGTATCGTTCTAACAATTTTTTTATCAAATTTAAATTTGATAAAACATTATTGAAGGATTAGAGATAGCCTTAGAAAGCAAAATTAATAAAGTAAAAGAGAAAAAAAAATCAGTTCAAAAGAAAAGAAATAAAAAGAAAAATATATTTTTCCTGTAAGTATTTGATTAGGATAATGAAATTTTGTATAAAAAAATTAGAGAAATTTAAATTTTATTTGTTTCTTTATATTTTTAACAAGAAATTATAAAGTTAGTTACAATGGTAATCTACATATTATATAAAGGAAAGGGATTTTTAGTGAAAAATCTTGTGAGAGTTTTAATAACTCATATTACTTTTCTTGATTTTCTTAATTGTTTAAAATTAAGAAAATCTCCATTGGTTAACTTTTATATGATAATCCCATATCAGGAAATATGGAAAAAAAAAAGAGTTGTTTTACTCATATAAAGTAAATATTATACTCACATCCCATTTAATATCTCAAACCATTTTTTTTATTTTCTTAATTTTAAATAATTAAGAAAATCTTCATTGGCTAACTTTTAGTTGATAATCCCACATCGGGAAAATAAGAAAAAAAATGAGTTGTTTTACTCATATAAAGTGAATCTTATACTCACATCCCATTTAATATTGTAATGTTGTGTATGTTTCAATTCAATAAAGTTTAAATTTTAACAGTTTTAATTAATTAATTATGACCTAGCCGATTAGGCTAAATCATTTTTGATTTGATTGATTCGTTGGTTTAATTGCGATTTTAGTAATTTTATCAAAATATATTGATTAAATTTGAAATAAATTAATATATATAAGCAAAAGAAGATTTTTAGTGAGAAACCCAATAATCAATATCTCATACTCATTTTTTTGATTTTCCTAATTTTAAACAATTAAGAAAACCCTCATTGGCTTGCTTCCATTTAACTTTTATTTTATAATCTCACATAGACGTTTTGATTTTAAAAATAATTTTGTATGAGATTTTGAAACTCTCATAATATTTAACTTAAAGACAATTACAATCTTACATTGAGAAAAAAAAAAGAAAAAAAAAGAGTTTTTCACTTATATAAAGTGAATCTTATACTCTCATTTAATATTATAGTATTATACATGTTTTAGTTCAAGACGATTTTAATTTTAAATTAAAATTTAAAAGTTTTAATTAATTAATTTTGTTATAAATTGGTTGGCCTTTTGACTTAGCCGATTAAGCTGAATCATTTTCGGTTTGACTGATTCACTGGTTTAATTGCGGTTTTAGTTGTTTTATCAAAATATATTGCTTAGATTTGTTTGATTTGAAATAAACTAAGATTGACCATATTAAAAATTAAACGATTGAGATTACTTAATTAGAAATAAACTTCCCGTTCAAACAACTATTAACTTTTATTTTACAATCCCACATCAGAAAAAGAAAGAAAAAATTGATTGTTTTATTATATAAACCTTATGCTATCGTTTAATATTATAGTGTTGTGTATGTTTGACACGTCTCAAAATTTGGACAATTAAATATTAAATTAGGACTAAATCCCAATCAATATTCCATTATCCAAATCTTAGGGGTGAAATAAAAAAATTAAACATTTTCATCTCCATAAGGTTTCAATAAATTCCATGCTCAAAAGGTTACACGGGATTTAAAAAAAACTAACAAAACGCCAACCAAACCATCCACTTTAAATTTCATAAGTAACTAATACCTCCAACATTAAAGTAACAATAACTAATTAAAACAACTTAAATAATGCAAAGTTGAAAAATAACCTATAATGTCAAATTGTCAAAATACTAACGTCATAAAAAAAATAATAAATACAATAAACTAATATCAACTCTAAGTTCAAGAGAACAAAAGAAATCCAAGAGACATGTCCAACAACTATAGTTATTCCACGTCACCACCGTAATCCCAACTAATCCTGCAAAGGAAGCTCCGCTGCGCTTAAACAGAGTGCACTTGAGATGCCAAGAGACAAAATGAATCAGTATACAAGTATACTGATATGAGTACAAATATTTGACATCCACTTGTCCACCACCAAAAAAAAAAAAAAAATACCTTTAATTGTTATTATTAAGGGACAAGACAAGTAGTTCCATTCGTACCGAGACGAATGGGTAGTTTCCTGAGATACGGTAACTTTGCTTGGTTCCACTTTTCCAAAAACACTTTTTAGAAAATTTTACTTTCTTACTTTCCGTGTTTTTTTTGTTTTTACTAAATTTTTTTTAATATTTTAAGCAATTTTTTTTTTTTACTTTTTAGACATACCTAATATAAATATACCTAAAAAGTAAAAAATTTGTGGAAAAAAGCCTTTTAAAAATTCACTAAATACCAAAAATACAAAAAAATACGAGAATTCAGTACATTTTTTTGTATTTTTATGTATTTATTAATTTTTAAAAATATTTTTTTACAATTTTTTTACTTTTTAGATACATCTATGTAAGGTGTATCTAAAAAAGTAAAAAAAAAATGTTTAAAATTTTAAAAATATTCACTAAAAAACAAAAAAAAACACGAAAACTAAAAACTCAGTTTTCAAAAAACTTAATCTAAAAAACTCAAACCAAACACACTGATTTAGTTTCTTGCCCATACACAATGAAATATAAATTGAGTATAAAATAAAAAAAATAGAAATAAAAATATGGTGGGTCAGCTTTTACTTTTTAGATACATCTATATAAGGTGTATCTAAAAAAGTAAAAAAAAAAGTTTAAAATTTTAAAAATATTCACTAAAAAACAAAAAAAACACGAAAACTAAAAACTCAGTTTTCAAAAAACTTAATCTAAAAAACTCAAACCAAACACACTGATTTAGTTTCTTGCCCATACACAATGAAATATAAATTGAGTATAAAATAAAAATAAAAACATGGTGGGTCAGCCATGCATAAAAAGTTAGTAAGACCCACCATTCTGTAAAAAAGAAAAAAAGTTAGTATAATTTAATCATAAGTAACTTGCTGAAGAAGTATAAAAATACACCGTTTCATGCTTAAATAATTTGAATTGATCAAAACTCAAAGAACAAAAATTATACAGAATTAATTTTCCTAAAAGACTTTGCGTACGAATTTAGTAGAAACTAAATAAGTTGAGAGAAAAATTTGATAGAAGAACCTATATGGAATTCAACTGAAAAATCTGAAACTGAAAACGAACAGAAACTGCTCTAAGATGATTTTTTTCAAAAAAGTTCAAAACACAAAAAGTGTGCAGAATAATTTTTTTACTTTTGCTTAATCGAAACCAAGAAAAATGAGCTCGTTTCGTGGGTTAAAACAGCATCTAAAGTCTGCCCTGCTAAAATGAATAAAAACTATTGTAACCAAGATTATCTGATTACAAGTTCTAATCGATCTTTTTAATAAAAAGTTAAAACACAAAAGTTGTTTAGAATCACGTATACATGCCTCTGCTCAAATTTCATAATTTATCAAGATCGTTTACTATTTTTTAAGATGTACAAAT